TTTTTTTTTTTGGTTTACAGTTTTATGCAGTTTAAATTACGCCATCATCATTACTCACTGCATTTAGATAGGCTTATCTAACACTGTATTAAAGTATCACGCCCTCCTAGTTATTCTTTTTTGTTTATAAAAGAACTCTAGTTCCATCTCCTCGGCCTCGACAACGTTTGCTCTGTCATTATCCTCACTGATCGTTTCGTCTCTGTTTTATTCTGCTAGTTTTATTGCTGTTCTCCAGGCTCCTTTTACTTGCAAATCATGGCAAAAAGTGAGTTCTCAAGTGTGTTGTAGTTGTTTAATTAGTAAAATTAATCAAATCAAAATGAGCTTGATCCGATGGTCACAAAGCATGCGTAAACCTTGGGTGCATGTTTGACCAAATCTTCATTAGTCGAAAATTTCATGAAAATAATCTACTTTCTATCAATGAAAATGCTGCATAAAGCTAGATCTATAGTAAATGAAAACTATGTGGCATTAATTTTATAATTATCTTGCTATAGAACTATAGACTATTTTTAGTTTTGTAACATTTTCCACCAACCAGTTGCAGTATAATAGTTAATAGTATTTTCTATTTTTATTTCTCCTTCCATAGGTGCTTCAGATTTATTCAAAAGCGTCTCTGCTAAACTTAAAGACTCCATATCATCTGATCTGCTTATAGTGTCAGCAAGTCTTTATGATAAGAGTCTCATAACAACCCAGCTACTCAAGGAAATGCTCGAGGGTCTTGATAGCAATTCAAATAAAGCTGACAAGCTTGTAAATGTACTACAGACTACTCTTGATGCCCACACTAATCCTGATGCATATCTACAAGAAGTGTGCTCAGCATTGAAAGAGAAAGGACAGAAACAAATTGTTGATGTAGTGAACGAATTGGAACATGCATGTAAGTTAAGATTAGTTTAGTTATTTATTACTAAATTTTATTTGTTATTTATTTTAGTTATTCTTATCATTTTCCTGTATACATGTAGTTAGTAAATTGTACGCGTATGTAACAATCAGAGTCAGTATCAGTTAATTATTGCAATTGTATTTCATGTTTTGCAACTATAAAACCTCCATTAATTATACTGCTTGAAAGGCACATTTTATTGGCAACATAATCATAGTATTCATTATCAGGATATCTAATATCTGTGGGATGCATTTGTCTTGAATTACTATGCTAAATACTGTTGTATAAACTGTTCCCATGCACTCTACTCAGACACACACACAAGTCACAACTAGAATACAGCTCTTCTTTGCACAATGTAATTTTCCAAAAAATAATCTAGGCTAAATTCAACTAAATTGCAACTTGTAGGTTAAGCTTATACATGGTAATATCCTTTTAAGGTTAAAATGTACCCATTGCAATGTCCAACCTTTTTATCATAGTCACTCCCTCAGTAGCTACATTGTAGAAACAAGTCACAACTAATAATCCTGCCACTACCTTTGGTTTTATTGTATGACACATATTTACATATTTTTTTACTTTTTACAGTATTCATTTCAACAATGCAATCTATTGACAGCAGCAGTGCTAGTGTTCCTACTAATAAACCTGAAGACACTCCAGCTTCTAATAGAATACAAGGTATATTCACTCATACATTACATTACAACAACTACATACACTTATTATAACCTCATACATGTACTAATTCAAGCCATTAAAAGTAGTGCTCATTACCATATTAATTTTTAGGAAGATTAGAAAAATGGCTAAAAGAAGGAAAAGTTGAGCTAAAAGTCACTCGTATCAATATGCATGGTGCACCTGGAGCTGGTAAAACATGTTCACTACACCTCCTACTTAATGAGCCACCGCCAGCTTCTACTGATAGTACACCAATAGCTTGTCGTGCTGTTCAAGCAACAAAAATATCGATTGATGATAAAAATAAGTGGGAGAGGGTTGAAATTAAAGATTTACTCAACCAGCTAGCGTCTCATTTAGCAGAAGCACCAGCATCTTCAGATGATGTATCTGATTGTTCAGATAAATTATTACTGGAAGAACCACCCAAGAAGAAACCAACCGATATAGAAGTAATGAAAGAAATTTCAAATGCTCTTGAAACTGGAAAGTTTCAAAAACTAAGCACAAATTGGGTTTATTTTATTGATTCCGGTGGTCAACAAGCATATCGAGAGTTGCTACCTCTTTTTACAAGAGCAGCTGCACTGAATATAATCACCATTGATCTTACCAAAGGTCTCGATGAGAAGTGCAAGTTTCAATATCACATTGATCAGCATATGTATCCTATTGATACAGATCTGAAGTATTCGAATCGTGATATAATATGCTCAACAATTAGCTCCGAGGCTATGTTGAATCCCATTGAGATTCCTTACGTATCTGACATGCCTGACCATCCTCATTATTTTATACTTGGTACACGTAAAGAGTTGGTAACTGATGAAAAGCTAAAAGAAATGAATGAAAGTCTGAGAGAATATAGAGCTAATGATAAAGTCATGAAGCAAAATGAGCGTCAAGGTTCAATTATATTTCCAGTTAATACGTTGCTCCCTGCTGGGTCTAAAGAAAGAGAAGAAGCTAGTGTAGAGCTTTGTACTGCAATTTCAAATTGTGCAGTTGAAATGAGAATTGAGTTACCAATTCGATTGCTTACTTTTGAGATTTCATTACAAAGGGAAGCTAAGAAGAAGGAACGAAGTTTTCTTACAAAAGAAGAAGCAATTCAGATTGGTAAGTCTCTTCGACTTGATGAATCAGATATCGATGAAGCTCTGCGATATTTACACAATGTTACTATCATTCTTTATTATCATGAAGTTCTACCAAATATAATATTTGTTGATCCTAAACCAATTCTTGACATCCTTTCACATCTAATAGCTATCACATGCGTTGACCGTACCAAATTACATCTGCTTGCAAACCCACCTCCTTCACCAGATGAAATGAATAATCTCAGAAACTTTGGCCTTTTTAACAAAGATATTTTTAGAATTATTGGTAAGCAAATTTTTTTGCATAGTAATTTTAAAACGTCTCACATGATCAAGCTTCTAAGACACCTCCACATCATTGCTAAAGTTGAAAACAGAAAAGAAGGAGACTATTTCTTTCCTTGTGCATTACCATCCTATGACAAGCTCAATCCTGCCTCAAAAGTAGTAAGACCACTTCTCATAGCATGGGAGATTCACAATAGGGGCACAACAACTCTAGCCATCCCTCAAGGATTATTTCCTTTAACCATTGTACACCTTTTGGAGAAAAAGGATAAAGTAGACTTCTGTCCAGTAGGCAAAGGATTTTACAGATGTCATGATGCCATGTCACTTCGTATTTACAAAGAGTACACTATAGACATCATCAATCGCTATACACATATTGAAATACGTTTTTATGATTGCAAGGAATTTTGTCCTCAAATTCGTGAATTAGTCACAGATGCTATCAAAGAAGCAGCAAAGATCTCAATGTTGATGATGATCATATTTTTGCATTAAAATGCCCCAGCGAAAATGAACAATGTTACTGTATTGTTCAGGAAGATAAATCTTCTGCCAGATGTACTCAATGTCGACCAAAATGTGATGTACTAAAAGGTGATGATGATAGCTATAGTTGCTGGTTTAATAATCCTCAATTACCCAGTCCAGGTTAGTAATATTATATGAATACTTTCATTATTTGGAAGCTACTATTTTTGTGAATTTTTTCTAGGAGCTGAAAGTCCCTCTACTAAAATGCAACCCACTAAATTATTAGGTGAGTGAATTAAAATTAAATGACATATTTTAATTTACATGTTTCTTCATTAGATACCAGTAATCTTATTGATGTACTTGATGTACTGGATGATCATGGATATTCTGGTGTCAGTTATTATAAACTTGGTCTTTGTCTGGGACTGCACCCTCGCACACTTGATGTTATTAAAGAAGATAACAAAGGATATACTAAGAGCTGCCTAAGGAAATGTTTGACAGCATGGTTGGAACAAAGAGATAGTGTAATGAAGAGAGGTGTTCCAACTTATGATACATTAATACGAGCATTGAGGAAGATGGGAGAGAATGCTGCAGCTGATGGGATTGAAAGAGGCATCAATAGTAAGGAATGAGTTTAATACATATCATGTTAACATGATGATAACATGATAAAGAGAATGGTGATAGAATTGTATTTTTAAAGAAGTTATAAATGATGAAATAATAATTGTCATTTTATGTAAATGATGTTAATTTTTATAGCAAAACAGCTGGAAGAAGATGAAGTTGAGCTTAAAGCCACCAATATCAATATGCATGATGCACCTGGAGCTGATGGTTCACAACACCTACTTAATGAGCCACCACCTGAAAAACACACTGATAGCACACAAGAAAGTGAAAGTAAAGAAGAATGTAATTAAGTATTTATTAATAACTTATTCTTAACACTGATATAGCACTTATATTTTGTGGATAATAAATTTTGTAAATTTATAATTTGGCAAAATTGAATTCAATCAAAATTTATATGCCACACCTTGTTCAACAAATAAATTAGTTGTTACACAAAATTTTTTATTTGCAAAAAACAATTTTGCATAATTTTATATCCACGAGGTAATATTCTATCATTTTTGTATAGGTACTGTTCCTATAGCTACAGTAACTGATGAGATTGATATAGAAAGTAAGAAATAAGATTTAATTGCATTAATTGCTTACTTTTAATTAATATTCTATTGTAATTAATATTCTATCACTTTTGTATACCGTATAGTGGGTAATTTTGGAGGGGATTAAATTTGGCAAATTTGGTGTTTTGATAGCCATTCGCCGAAATAAAACCCGCCATTTTGAGCTATTATACGCATGCTCAATGGCACATGGCCACAAATTTGCCAAAATTAAAATCCACCAATTACCAAAATTTAGCAATTCACCAAAATTTATCCCCTCC